TCGAGCCCCATCGCATGTAAGACTAATAGATAAGACCTGTAAAGTTTACATTTCCCAGAAATTGATAGCATCCTTTCAACTTTTTAGGTTGTTTCCTCATTCCCTATGTGATCTGTCTGATCCTGGCCGGTGTTCCTGCTTTAGTTTTGGAAATAAGTTTGGGACAATATACAAGTCAAGGTGCCATTACAGCGTGGAAAATATGCCCAATTTTTCAGGGTGAGAATTCTTGACGAACAAATGTTAGATAATAGATCTATTGAAAGTTCGTCACGTTTCGTCGATAGGGAAACATTTTTCATGTTCGTCATTTATTAGTCCTTTTTCTTTATCTTCTCCTTCCTTGAGAATGCTACTTCCCTGCTATTTTAATATTGTCTTTTTTGTGTATTAAAATCTCAAACTCCATACCCGTTTTGGCGTCCCATATCCGTTCAGGCCAATCAGGCCGATATGCTCATCCCTTTTCGGCACCAAGGCTAACAACTGTAGTACGAAGCCGTGTGTTGGGATTGGTCAGGTGATTTTATGGTTCTTTATTCCTCGTAAAATGAATTTGATAAAAAATTGTGTCAGTATGAGTTAAATCATATTCGACTAGTGGCCGATGAGTGTGTGACAAAGGGACTTCGAAGATTTATTGGCCGTCGCACAAGTTTAATTAAGGGCCCCAAAATTTTCTCCTAAGGCGTCAAATGACATTACATAATTATAGTTTGACTAACAGGATTTATTCGTCGTCATTATCATCGTCATGGTCATCATCATCGATTTGTCACTAAATTTGGTTTTGACTCTAGGTATTGGCTACGCTGGGGTGCTGGTTATGCAGTATGTTAACATTTACTACACCGTGATTCTTGGCTGGGCCTTCTATTACATGTTTGCCTCGTTCCAATCCTCGCTGCCTTGGTCACGTTGTGGAAATAAATGGAACACACCAAACTGTGTCGAGAGCGGTGAAAAATTAAATATCTCCGAACAAAATGCTTCGTCCATAACCAGCGTTTCAGCAAGTCAGGAATACTGGGAGTAAGTAATGTTTATACCAT